GTTATTGTGGGGAGGGGGAGAACATTACAGAGTCTAAAGAAATACCATTTATCATCATGACAGTGGAGAGAAGATACAAGCAGCTCTCTCAAGCAGCAATTCATCACATGTCTAATGGTTTATGGGAAAGCACGCCACAATCAAACGAAAGTACGTTTATTCTGCGATCCGGAGCACCGTGTGTTTCGCCGCAGAAGTGTGTCATGAAGAGGGGGAACCTCCGGGTAAGAAGGTAATGAGGTTGAGCAGAGGCTGTCTTTGCTGTTCAGCATCAGTTCACTACAGTATGTGCAGCACGCTCCGATAACTCAATGCATCAAAGAGCGCAACCATGGGGTCCCATTTCCAAGATCAATAGGGAGATCATAAATTAAAAATCGCTTTGGAGGGTAGAGGCCTGTGGAAGTCTTTGCAGTTCACAGCGTAAACAGCTCCAACCTAGCGAGCCGCTCTCAAAACTAACAAGCTTTAATGAGTTTATGATTTAGAAATGAGCGTGCAGAGCATTACTTTCCGTTTGGATGTTTGTTTGTTTATTGTTTGTTGAAAGTTAAGAATAATACATTTTATCTAGTGGCATACTTCTACTTACAGTAAACTGTAAACCGTCTCTCAAGTGATCACATGATGAGAGCAGGAATAGCCAACTGGTCATGAACCTGGCATTTATACACACTCAATGACGTGCAAAAACATAAGCAATTGTATTTTCTTTTGAACTTCCAAACACTTGTGTGATATCTTCATTATCTCCAGAAGAAGTTGACATTTAAAATAATAAAAATAAAGCAAATCATAGTGACATACAGTGGGAGGTAAAGTGAGGAGGGAGGGGGGGAGACGAGAGGTGAACACGCTGAGAGAGGAGAAAGGGACAGGTGCTCATGGAAGAAATTAGGATACTTAAAAAACCCTTAGTGCTCAATTTGCATCAAACATCCTACTCTTTTGTGGAGTCCTAACTCTGTCAAATCTGAACTCAAACAGAGAACACACATATTTTTGGATTACTCTTAGAAAGTATATCATTATCTCTGAAATCCCTTAGCAATGCACCTCTTAAATCCGTTTGGAAAATAAAATAAAAAGGCAGAACTTGGCTGAGAATCAGCATGTTTTTAAGATCTTAGCTATTAAAGTAATTTTGGTTTACAGTAATGTATAAAGTGAAAACAGGATCTGCTAAAAGCTAATTCGGCATACTTTTAGAATGGTGCCAATTTGCCTAAATGATAGGCCAAAGGTATGACGATGTCTGGTTTCAGGGAGCCTCACAGTGTCAGGATTATGGTTGAAGTGGAAACAAAAAGAAAAAAAAATACCAACATGGAGGAAATTCTGCCACTGGTAGACAGGAACACATTTCAAATGAGTGCAGCAATGACAATGCCAGGAAATAATGATGAATGCAAATATATAATTGTGTTGTTTGCACATCAGTCGAAGAACTGTGCAATCACATGTTGAAGAATTATGTAACAGGTTAAACTAGCATATTCAGAAATACAGTTACCTCTGAAACAGGAACATCTGTCTGTCTGCAATCATTGTGTTTACATTTAAATCCTGTTAACGAGCTGCTTCAGTGTGAAACTACTATCAAAAGGGTCATGTTTGCGTTTTGCTGACAAACACCGCACCACTGAGTCCACACAATGTCACAGACAGACAACATCTCCGCACAACGCAGAGCTGAGAGTACAGTCGTTGTGGGGCCACCAACAGGACACAGTGTAATTTAATTACTTTTAAATACTCATGCCCTTGGAACAGCCTGAGACCCATTAATTACTGCTTCTCTGCTGCTGCATGTGTATGGGACCCTGACTGTACTACCTTTTCACTTCCTCTTTTTTCTTCCACAGTAGAGATCACATCTCAGTTGTCTCGTGAATTTGACACGTTTATGGCCAGAGATTAAACCTCCAGGTGCTGCGACCCGTCAACAAGGGGCCCCCTGAACTGTAAAGCTGGCAAAGAGTGAAATCAGTCGAGACCGGAACACTTACAGATGACAACTGTAGGCACCCAATGTTAAAACACACAATGTAAGTTAAGGCAAGACACTACGGTTCTGTACATTTAACCTGATTTCACCAACATGTAGTATTAGATAATGCCTAATGTGTACATACAGAAAACATTTTTAAAAATAAATAATTTTCCCTGATGTAAATGATTGGGGAAGATGCATAGTGGTTCAATGTTTTACCATATTTCCCTTTTAATAGTACTACTTCCATTGAGGTTCATTGAAGAACTGCAACCATTTGATTACAAACTGATTATATAAACCACAGTGTTTTTCAAAGAGTATTTTCCCTGCTGTTTTGTCATCTTTCATGGTTTCATGGGAATGGACTTGATGATTTCGCTCCACTTGATAGTGGACATACAGGAAGAGAAAGCTCCCCGCAGGACAACGGGCTTAATCCTCACCTTCATACCAGTGAGCCAGCTGAGGTTCAATTAACAGTCCAGTAAAGAAGAAAGAAAAAAATCAGACACTGATGAGGGCTGATGTGGGTTAAAGACCGAGGGAGCAGGAGTGTATCGTGGTGTTGGAGCTCAGCGCTCCTTTGGCAGGCAGTGTTTAAAATATTCTCATCTGAGAGATCAAGCTTATCAGATGCCTTCTTCATTCAAACCCAGTGCACTCTGTTTGGTGTCGATTTAATTTAAAAGCTGGAATCTGGAGTCCTGGGTGATCAAAAGGGACGCAGTAAACTGAGGCTGAGGGGGACGGCCTGCTTGAATTAACAGGGGCTGAAAGGTGAAACACTCTCCTCTGCTGCCTGAATGGAGGCTGATGGCTGGGTGGGGGGTGGAGTGGAGGCTCTGCACTGCAAAGGGAGGGACTAGGTTTTTCTCTCATTACCGCATCCCCCCCCCCATCTCCCCTATTCCTGGGACACCCCCCAGGTAGACAAGGCAACGGGCCGAGGCGGATCCCCACCACCTCCACCACGCTTCTGTTGATCGCCCTAACGGACTCCCACCAGGCCTCCATTCCTCCTCAGCCATCACCTCACAAATCAAACACAAGCCTCATCCAACAACATTGCTCTCTCTGTGGATTTACTGGTATAAAACATGAGCAAAAGCTTTAAACCACTTTAAGGCATTTTTAACTACTTCATCCCCTTGGTAAACCTTTCTGAAGATTTACGACCAAACTAAATAGTTTGTATTATGGTATTTTTACCTGATTGTTATTTCCAAAGCCTTATTTTAGTTGTGGGAGGAGACTTACTTTATTATCAACCTGTTAGGCCCCAAGCCTGTTTTTTCATGTTCTCAGGGCTCGAAGAATGACATGGCCAGAACAAATGGCTATCTTCCTTCTAAAAGTTTTAAATTGAACCTCTTTTTTCTCAAGCAATGTTAAACCTGTGGTTGCGATGTAGTAAGTCATCACGCAACTGTGTTGTAGAGTGGTTTTAAGAGTAAGTTCCGATTGAATATATGATGTTTTATAATTTAAAGCTCATTCGTCGCATGATAATCATATGTAGTTGGTTAGTTCTACAAACTGTTGAACTCGCCCTCTCAGAGTTATAGTTTCGTCCAAAAAACTCTCTCTCGGCGACAATATGGTAATATCATTGAACTCCAACTATAGTGTATGCTGGACTTGTCCCCAATCATTGTAATCAGTTAGGAAACTAATTAAAAGCTTTTTGAGAAAACCATTGTATATATACCTATATAATGTTACACATATAATGTAGAGATTACCGGTATCATATATGACTATAGATGATCAGAGCAAACAAGTGAGATCTGGAGGTGCTATTATCTGAGATATAAAAGAACCAGTTCTACGGAGAACGGCGCTTATGTGTTAGTCTTTGGCCATTAAACTTCCTGGTTGTGCTCGTTCGGTTCATTTATGCATTGGCGGTTGACACACTTTTCGCAATCACCAGTGTAGATGTCGACTATGTATAGAGTAGTTCGAGGGGGAAGTTCCAACATCCATCTAAACATCCTCTACCATGGGAGTCGTCAGATGTGACTCAGTTTGCCAGCATGCGCAGCCATGTACAGTTCCCACGGAAAAGCCGGCCGCGTTGTGAGGTCGCAGCTGGGTTACAGCTAGCTATCCCTAGAGTAGCGTCTTGTATGTCTACTAGTGCAGTTTCGTGGTCAAAATTATGCTTGAGTAGAAACTGTAGATGTTAGTACTCTACGTACTTGCTCGATGTCAGAAAGATAAGACAAGAGACGATGACAAATTGGTAACCTCAGCAGAGTGACAGTCATAGTTTATCGTTAGAATCACTTAACACAAACTGCTAGCAGCAGAGAACGACTCGCAAGACATGAGCAAATTAATGAGGTCGTAGGACCGTATTACCGGTTTCTCCTTCGCATGCCCTGAGTTTTGGTGTGTGGAGTGATGATACTTATTAAACATTGGAATGTGTGGAATCCTCAGATTGATATGATATCTTGTGTACTGTGCCAGAACCATGTTCACGGATATAAAGGGCAATTTATGCCAGTATATGTTGAATATAGAGTCATTTTATTAATCGACTTTTGTCGACTTGAAATTCAGAGGTGTCCCTGTGTAGGTTATTACGTTGGAGCTAAAAACAATGGACGTTCATGTACTCTCAGTTGCTCCTGCGGATAGCTGTCGGGAGTATTGTTGTTCCGTTCTGGTGGAGCGACTATCGTGTGGACTCATTATAGGGTTGTTAAATTTAATAAAAAGCCCTGAGACACAGTTTCGTGCAATACCTGACGATGGTGCCTCTTTTGGGGGTTTTGTCAGGCAACAACGCAAACATTGACGCCACTTTGATAGTACGTTTCACCACTGAAGCAGCCTGTTAACAGGATTTAAATGTTAGCATGAGCAGATGATTGCAGACGACAATGTTACCTGTTTCAGAGGTACTACTGTAACTA